ATTTCACACATATAGCTTTTAAAACCTTATGTTAGAGAAACCATTTACAAATCTGATTTCTAGAACATCTGAAGACTACACATATATATATATTCTTTCCTTCCTTTCAAAGTCACTTTGTGAGTTAAAACCATCCTTTATTTTGCATGTTGTCCTGTGTGAGAAGAGCTAGGCTACATGGTTCCTCTCTGCTCCCCCAGGACATCACCATGGGACAGGTGGGAATAATTGAGAGTCCTTGTCTAAACGATTCTCCATTCAAATGTCTCGTGCATTCATACTCATTGGGCTCTTTCTATCTTGCACCACATAATATCTCATCCTCCAGGATTCTCCAAATGGTGAAGAACTTTCATCAGTGGTGATCTTAAAATGAACTTCCTACATGGTGCCATGGAGACACACACACACACACACACACACACACACACACAAATTCCATAAGACCCAGTTGGGAGATGCAAGGCTTCTTATAACTGTATCCTGAATATTACTTATATTCTATGACTACAAAATGTAATTAAAGTCAGTCCAACTTCAAAGCAATGGGAGAAGCAGATGCACTTCTTGATAGGAGAGTAAACAAGAAAAGAATAAATTGGTGTTAATTACATTGTATATAATTCACAATGCAGAAAAACCTCTCTTCCACAATTAGTGTTACATTTCCACAAAGGTGTAAAAGCACTGTTGAATGTCTTTAGTTCCTTACAAAGTTTTATTTTAAAAAGTCTTTTTACTTTTACCTATTGCTTCTCTTATAGGATTCAAAATTCAGCCAAGAGAGCTGTGCTTGGGACCTCCTGTTATGACTTTATTATAAAACAAGCTTGTGGGGCTGGAGAGATGGCTCAGTGGCTAAGAGCACTGGCTGTTCTTACAGAGGACCTGGGTTCAGTTCCCAGCACCCACATGGCAGCTAACAACTATCTGTAACTCCAGTTCCAGGGGATCCAACGCCTCTTCTGACCTTCATGGGAGCTGCACAACACAGTTGTAGTGTACCTACCTACATGCAGGCAATATACTCACACACATAAAAGAAAAATAATAAATAAAATATTAAAAAGAAAGCTTGTCTTTTGAACTTACGCTCCTCTTGAATTGAAAACTTACGTTCTCTTGAAGCATGACCCTCAGTTTCCTCAAACTTTTGAAAAATCTTTCTGTGTCTAGACATGCCTAGACACTCGAGACTCCAAAGGGCAAGTGCAAGATGTGCTGAGCAGAGCCTGGCACTTAGGACATGTACAACACGTGTTAAGTCTCATTTCTTCCCTTTTCTGACTACACAGTTAAGCCTGTGCCAAATATCAGATTATGATTCCCATCTACAGATCATAATACCGAAGGCCAGAAAAGTTAAGGGCTTGCTCAAATCCATGTAACTAATTGTGAAGGAATTAAAACTTCTGCCCAGGTTTTCCAGAACTGTCTACAGAATTCTTTCAGTTAAATTGAGGATTATCAGGGTGAGTTTACTGAATTCAAATGTATAAAGAACAGATTCTTCAGTGAAAGAAAGAAAGCCACAAGAAAAATAAGAGTTCCAGTGTTGGTGAGGGTGGGTATCAAAATAGAAATAGAGTGCCAAAATTCACACCACCTATTCACAAGTTTTGCTTGGAGCCCACCTCCTTATTTATATTCTCCAGAAATACTCTTAGAGTATTGACTCTTACAAATATATACAAAGAGAGGCTAGGGATGTGGCTCAGTTGGTAAAGTGCTTTCCTAAAATGCACAAAGCCCTGAGTTCGATCCCCAGTACCACACAAAACTGGGTATGATGGCGCATGTCCGTAATCCCAGCACTAGGCAGGAGAATCAGTTCAAGGTGACCCTCAGCTACAATGGTGAGTTCAAGACCAGTCTGGTCTATGTGGGACTCTGTCTCAACTATCACCACCCCCTCCCCACACACACACAAAACAAAGGATATTCTTTTGGTTTCTACCACTAGTCAAAAATTCTCAGCCTCATGTTGCCCACTCCAACTCTATTAATCCCTCACATCCTGCTTATAGCGAACGGAATGCAAAATTCTGCTCGCCTTGTTCTTCAGCTCTCCCAACAGGACGTCACTGCTGTGTATCGGTTACTAGGTGTGGGTTTCCTTCTGCTCCGGCTTGTCTGCCTTCCCAGTGATGAAATGAAGCCTTCCCCAAGGAGAGGGCCCAACACCATTGCCTTCTGCCTGGTCAGCCTGTGGCAGCCTTTGCTTCCAGCAACAACAGGCTGCGTATCCATAACAGAGGCAGCAGGAACCTGCGATTTGGCCCTTTGCAACTCTGTCATGTAGCCAACACGCTTTCCCAAGCCTTTCCCCAGAGCCATAGCCGCTGATGTCTGGTGGCCCTACCACCTGATGTTTGTGTCAGCAGATAACAGGAGCCTAGGCTCCTCACTCCTTCACTCAACAGTCTTGTGACTGTACAAACAAAGGTCACTTCCTTTATTGATGTAGCTAGGGGACATCTGCAAAGAAATAAAGTCATCTTCAGCCACAGGCATGATGTATTATTTCAGGGGAGCAAAATGTATAAATTCTAGACAAATTTGTGACATTTTTACACAATTCTGGAGTAAGAAGCAAACAAATACTTAAACTTTTATTTTGAATTACATTACTTAAATTTTTATCTTAGTGTTCTTTCCTTAAATTCTTATTTTGAGTTATATTACTGATACTCCATGTTTATTAAAACATATATTACTAGTGTGAGAAATCCACTTTTAAATTAATTTAACTATTCTTCTTATGGATATATGAAAAGTAGGATTTGGTATTATCTTTAAAGTAGTTCTAAGCAGTGTGTTTAATGTCAATTTCACCAAAGCAAGTAAGAGGTAAAAGAAAAAAAAGTATACCACATTTAGCTATTTAAAATAGTCACACTGAGGTATAGTGAATGGTTATTCACTTATGATCACAACACTCAAGAGGCTGAAGCAAGAGGAGTACAAGTTCAAAGCCAGCCTGAGCCATATAGGAATATCCTATCTCAAAAACAGAGAAGAAGAGAGAGGTGAAAGACAGTAAAATATCAGCTGCATGCAATCTATCGTCATATCTTTTAAGGCTAGTCAATAATTCTCAGTCTCTTGTTGCCCATTCCAGCTCCCTACTAATCCCTCACATCCTGCTTATAGCTAATGGAATGCAAAATTACCTATCCAATTAGTCACTTACTATAAAATATTAAAGAAAACAATAACAATAGCAATCACCTATAATCACACAATCTTGACATAGCTACTGTGAGTACCTTAGATAGAGACCCTTCCAGGCCTTGCCTGGTGTGTATATACAGTTTTTTTTAATACAATTGAGATCTCTATAAGAATTCTTTATATTTAACAGAATACAATCATTATACACTGATAAATGTACACCTACAGTTCAGAATATCATCCCTTTTCATTATAAAGAGAAAAACAGATAAAATGTAAGTATTCTTCAGCCCCATAACCAGTCAAATTTTTCTTTGACAGCAACTCAGCAAGCAGGAATTACATGCCTCCTGATGGGAGGTAGTGGGAGGTTCCCACTTCACCTCTATGACCTTCTTGTCTGAAATGTTCACTGTAGTCAAATCATGAAGAAGCATTAATCCAAAATGGAGATGTATGAAACAGTCCCTAAGGCTCATGTGTTGAAACGTGGTCCAACAGATGGTTAATCCAATCACTGAAAGGTAATTGGATGGAGACAAGGGCTCTGATCTAAACAATAGATTAATTCACTGATGGGTTCATAATTTGATGGTACTATTGGGAAATGGCAGAAACTTTCAGAGGCGAAGGCAGTTGGAGGAAGTGGGTCACTGAAGGCATGTTCTTGGGGGCTATATCTTGTTTCCAGGTTCTTCTCTGTTTCTCTCAGCTTCCTGGCTTCCCTGAAGTGAGAAGTTCCATCTCTGCCATGGCCTTCTACCATGATATTCAGTGTGGAGCCAGCTATGGACAGAAACCATGAGCCAAAGTAAATCCTTCCCCTTTAAGCTACTTATCTCCAGCATTTTGTCACAATGAAAAACTGACTAACAGAATAGGACATTCTCCAGCAGGGCTACTCAGGACAGTGTTCAAAGAAGAGGCAGTGCCCAAAGGCTTCAGACAACTGATGATACATAATAGCCAATGCCACAAATAAAAACACATTAGAATTTGAACCAAAAAAGAAAAATTACCATGAAAATATTTTAGGAAAATGAAAACACATTTATAAATGATATTACTGAATTATGATTATTTTCTAATGTGGTAATGGTTTCATGAAAGAGAACATACTTGTTCTTGGACGAGGAGATATTAAGAAGTGAAATCTTATTACATCAGCAACCTGCTTTCAGGTTTAGGAAAAGGAATGAAAGTATACACACACACACACACACACACACACACACACATATACACACACGAGAGGCAAGTCATCAACAGACATTCATTGCACATTCTTTCAACTTTTCTGTGGGTTTGAATGCTTCAAAGTAATATGCAATATATTTGCATACATGTTACACATGGGTATACATATTTCCATCTAAACTTCATAACAAAATGTGTTTCTATTATATGCTTGTTCTATCATCTATTTAACAAATTCTTGATTCTCAACATTTTACTTATTCCTGTTTTTAACTATATGAGCATGTTTGAAAGATAACTCTTACAGTGGCTACTTGCCTGTACCCTTGTTTACTTAAGGTAAATTCCTACAGGAACTGCTCAAGTACATACATGTATTTGTTATCATTCAGTTTGTAGCATTGTTACCTACAACACAATTATCTGATTCAGCCCTGAATATTTTCTGTGGTCCTCAAACCCTAAGACAGTAATTTTCATAAGGATTACAACTGTCAACTGATAAGGTTTCTAATTCTGGTATTTTATTTCAATGGGTTATTTATTAAAAGAAGTATTCTCAGTTCTTAACAATACCCTGTAAAAATTCTTTGCATTCCTATGGACATCCTAATCAGTACTGAAAACAGTTTTTTTTTTTTTCCTATTTAGTTTTATTCATAATCATAAACTTAACTCTGCAATCCAGCTAGACTTGGAGGGGAGTAAGGAGAATATGGAACCCAAAGAACTGCATTGAGACATCGAGAGCACAAAGGTTATGGGATACTGCGAGCAGATGGGGCGGAGGGTGCTCTCCTGAGCTACAGAAGGAATGGTCTGGTGGTTAAGATGCACACAAGTGAAAAGTATTAGAGCTGTCCACAGTCAGAGATGGTGATCTTCTTGCTGGTCTTGCCATTCCGTGACCCAAAGCGCTCCATGGCTTCCACAATATTCATGCCTTCTTTCACCCTCCCGAAGACCACGTGTTTGCCATCCAACCACTCAGTCTTGGCAGTGCAGATGAAAAACTGGGAACCGTTTGTGTTTGGTCCAGCATTTGCCATGGACAAGATACCAGGACCTGTATGCTTCAGGATGAAGTTCTCATCCTCGAATTTCTCCCCATAGATCGACTTGCCACCAGTGCCATTATGGCGTGTGAAGTCACCACCCTGGCACATGAATCCTGGAATAATTCTGTGAAAGGAGGAACCCTTATAACCAAATCCTTTCTCTCCAGTGCTCAGAGCACGAAAGTTTTCTGCTGTCTTTGGAACTTTGTCTGCAAACAGCTCGAAGGAGACGCGACCCAAAGGCTCGCCATCAACTGCGATGTCGAAGAACACGGTAGGATTGACCATGGCTGACAGCGAGCGGCTACAGGGGACAGCGGCGTCTGCAGAGCCTGAAAACAGTTTTGACTGTTGTTAAATTACCATACAAAAAGTTGTCAGTTACTTGTTCCTGCCCTGTCCTTCTGCTCTTCATTTCTGGCATTAACACATCTTTGATCATTGTCCCCAGAAGATGTGGTACTTCCTTAACCCTACCAGAACCAGACACACCTGATGTGAGCTGCAGCCTTTGGCGCTTTGTGAGACTATTGGAAGACATGGAGTCTGAGTTCTGCCATAGAGATATCACAGTTTGACCTCTTGTCTCCAGAACATTTCCCATCAGTCACTTTGAGACACCTACCCCATTGAAATAACACCTACACAGCCTAGACCAAACCTCAGCCAGTCTCATAGCCTTCAAAAAAGACTTGGGCTATTTAACAGGCTATGCTTACAGCTATTTAACACATTCAGATGCAGCAAATGCTTACTCCTTCTCTCTCTATCTTCCTCCCTCTCTCCTCTCTGTCACTCTATCTCTCTGTCTTTGTTACACACTTATGCGTGCACACACACTCTCTCTCTCTCTCACTCTAGCTCTTTCTCTCTTGCTCTCTCACATATAGAGAATATTTTTCAGGACCTCACCACCTCACTCTAACTGAAAGACCAAAAATGAAAGGAAAGTTAAGAAAAATAGACATAGTCCTTTTATGTAGTTTATTTTTTGCCACCAAAAGTGAAATACTTGACCCAAGAATCCAAGCCAGTTTTATTTTAGTTGGTTCTACTTCAAATAATAATCAAGAAAGTTTCCAATAACTGGACTCAAAGTTACCATTTATGGAAGCACTGAGATAAACTCATGCCTGGTTCATGCTTTTCACAAGTTGCAGGATCAATATTTTCTGTTACTGGTTCTAATGTGGTACCCAGCCCACATCACGCTGACTAATAACAGAATGCATCCAAAGAAAACAGATAATGAGTTCTATGGAAATCCTTAATCCTTCTCCAAGAGTGGTTATTTTTCTTAGGCACTCATGGGAGCTGAGGGTTCCAATTCCTCTTTGCAGTTCTTTTAGCTGTTCCTCCACACTGGCTGTGGTTCTTCTACTGACTTACGAGGTACAACACGCTGCCTCCCAGATGCAGAGCCGAGGAAGAATGTACATAGGGTTAAAGCAGCCTGTGAAAAGGCCACAGAGATGCAGATCCAGGTAAGGTGTACCAGGGGCCTGGGCCACAAGCTACACCCTCAGGCAAAGCTCATAACCTGTCAGACTCACAGATTCCAAATTTGTGCTCTGGCCACATTTCCTTAAACCCACAGATCTCCTGTGTGGATTAGGCAGAGAACACTATAAGCAACAGAAGTCACACAACATTTATTTTTTTGGCATACATTACTTCAAGGGAAAATATTTAGTCACTGAGATGATTTTGTGATTTATATTTAAGAAAAAGTCCATTAAAAACCCAAGGGGAGTCTTGGTTTAAGATTACCATTAAGTAACAAGCAAAGAGGGAAATTTTGATATTAAAGAAAAGTTGTTTGAAATTTATTTTTGCTATTAAAAATAATTTAAGCAAGGTAAATACTATTATCTATGTTGTTCAAAATCAAAAGATAGGCACATACTAATTTCAAAGAACCTTGAAAGCATATTTGTTTTGCTATGAAGTCAGAATTCAGTGAGAGATGACAGGCTGCAACCTTCTTCCCGGGGTGATATATCCCTTGGCAGGGATGTTTCTGAGCCAGGCCATAGAGAAAACAGCCCCAGCTGTTCCACTGAGAAGTTATGTGACAGTGGACGATTGCATCACTACTCTGATCCTGTTGCTTTCTCTACCCACTAGGGATAAAAATCATTTCTTTATGTGCAAATGACTGATTTTTCAGTAAGAATTAACATCCTCACTCAGATTTGGAACAACCCCTGACCCCAAAAGTCTATCTTGCCTCTCCAACTCCAAGTAGAAATAATCAAGACATTTCTTCAAAATACTGTAATTCAGTTTCTTTGTAAAATTCAGCTTTTTTTAACCTTCCAAAGAAGTTACAAGAGCACTTGGTAGCATATCTAGTGTATATAATTCTCAGTGTCTTAAAATCTATTTCCTGGGAACTTGAATTATAACACCTTTTTTTTCTGAAAGTAGAGGAAATAAGAAGCTTATGATGCTAAATATATCTTTTTGAGGTCGTCAAAACCAGTGCAAACAACAAGAAACTTGGGGACCTCATCTCTGGTTCCTTCAGTACCTTGTGCTCTGAACTCTTAGTGAGAACAGCTCAAGTCAGATGGTATGATGGTGTCTGCTGTAGTTTCATAGACCTCACCCTTGAAATAGAAGCAATTTCAAGTGTTTTCTCCTTTCTTTACATTTGCCTTTTTTTCCCTGTCATTTCCTTTTACTTTGTCTTCCAACTATCTGACCCTCTGTGGAATGGGATCTTGATATATCGTTACTTACAAGAATAGATTTCATGTCTGGCTCAGGAAACAAGTGTTCTACCTTTATTTCTCATTCAAATTCAGTAGGCCATAGTCAGTCCTATCCCCAGATTGCCTCTATTACTGAATAAAGACCAGAACTGAGTTATCTAACACAGAGAATGAAAGAACTTCAAGGCTGACTTGAGTTTGGTCAAGAAACAAGTTGGTTAGACCATGACATGAGTTCATTTTTCAAAATCTTGTAAGTGGTATGTAAATCCTTCTATCTGGAAAGGAGTTCATGGCATTATTTCCTCCCATTTTACTGCTAGTTTGTGTCTACTGTCTCTAGAACCTGGTTCTTTCAGTTATCAAGAAAATTGTATATGTCTTATAGCTGTTGCCAGTGTCTACCCTCAACACTGCTTCTATGTTCCTCAGGTTTCAAGGGTCTCTATCAATTCAAGAGTAGCAGATAGTGACCATCTAGACACCTCTGCCACAGAGAATGAGTGTTGTAGCCCAGCCCTGGGTATCTAGATAAAATGAAGTCCAGATAACTTGGCAGAAAAGGACTATAGATTTCATGTGTCATAAACTGAGTCCTTAAGCCATGGGTTAGCAAACAGAATGCTAGTAGATTCTTCTGAGCCTCACTCTGGCATTATTCATTTTCTTTTTATTTATTTTTATGTATATTTTTATTGACGTTTTCTGCATTTCATATAGAACATCTTAATCATCTTTATACCACCTCCCCTATCCTCCCCAAACCCCTCCCAGTGGATTTCATGCATTCTGTCATATGTGTTAAGACCTATCAAGTCAAATTACTGTACCCATACATCCCTCAGTGCAAGTCAGTCAGCCTGGGGTCTAGCCAGCCTATATAGAGTCTCTCCCTTAAAGAAGAAACTCTCCCTCAACTGGCAGTAATCAGCTGCCAACCGTTCTTCAGTTAAAGTTGGGGCCTGCTGCCCATTTCCCAAGTTCTATGCTGGGATTTTGTCTGCTTGGGTTTGCATGGGTCTGGTGCATGTTGACACCATTGCTCTAGGTTTATATGAGCAAGGTCCCAGGAGCCTGAAAGACTCTGTTTCCATATGGTCATGCACATCCTCCCCTGGCTCTTACAATCATTCTACCCCTCTTCTGCAATATCTCTGAGCCTTAAGTGGATGAAGTTTAATATAGGAGTCCTGTCCAGGACCCACACTCTGCAGAATCTTATTCTCTATGTTTTGGCCAGTTGTGGCCTTTTGTCTTCATTGCCCTCTGTTGCATGAGACAGCTTCATTGAGAGTTGAGAAATGCATTAGTTTTCTCTCTACCACTTGTTCCACTATGTTCCATGAACCTTAGGCGTAGACGTTCCACTGTAGATGTGTCACTTAGGGTTGAGCATCTCTGTGTGTGACCAGTTGCAGAACTCTGTAACAGTCTCTGTCTGTTGCAAAAGAAGCTTCTTTGATGAGTGGTGACTGGCATACTTGTCTGTAAATATAAGGATCCATATTTAGCATGTAGTAAGAAACAAATTATTGACATATCCAACAACCTGGTTGGGTCTCTAGAGACTTACAATACATAAAGAAAGCCAATCATAGAAAGTTACACACTGTATAATTCCCTTTATATAACATTTTGGAAAGGTTAATGAGTGGAGAACAAGCTGGTCATTGCCAGGAGGCTGATGAGCAGGTGGAGCTGGAGGGAAATTATACATGGACTCAAAAGGCTATGATGAGCTAACTCCACCAAGAGGGTAGTGATCTTTCCCATCACTGTGTCAGTGCCAACTTCTGAGTGTCATAACAGTTGCAAGTTGTCATCAATGGAGGCTTGGATAAAAGAAACATAGGGTCTTTCTATACTATTTCTCAGGGCCTCCTGTGAAGCTACAATTATCTCCAAATAAAAATTTAATTAAAAGATGAAAAAGGCAAATCAAAAATTTTATTTGAGAATTTAATCAGAAATTAATGAACATAGGTGGTAACTACACAGGGCAAAGTATTTCACAGAACATTTGAGCTCAGTATTGTGGTTGTACATACTTTCTAGGATGTAGTTTGAAGACAAAATTCAAACACATTTGAACTTTTAATCTTTAAATAAATTTTTTCAATTTTTTTATTGAATTTTGTGCATTTCATATAGTACATCTTAGTCATGGTTAGCCCCCCTCCCCTATATGCACCCCCATACCCTCCCTGCCAGATTTCATGCATTCTATCATATTTTAAGGCCTATTGGGTCATGTGTGTTCCCAGATGTCCCTTAGTGTGTGAGTTCATCCACTGAAGCCTAGTCAACCTATTTAGCATCATGACCAGTTGCCAAAAGTTCCTCAACTAAGATTGGGGCTTCTTACCATTTCCCCACTTATATGCTGGGGTTTTGACTAGTTTGAGTTTGCATGGGTCTTGTGCATGTTGTCACTATTGCTGTAAATTTATATGAGCAAGTTCCTGGCTGCCTGAAAAATTGTCTCTGTGTTGTTATCCACCATCTCTGGCTCTTTGAGTCTTTTCACGCCCTCTTCCACAATGATCTCTGAGCCCCGGGTAGCTGAGGTTTAATATAGGAGTCCTGTCCAGGGACACATACTCTGAGGTCTCTTATTCTCTACATTTTGGCCAGTCATGACTTTCTGTGTTAATCACCATCTGTTGCATCAGGAAGCTTTGCTGGTAAGAGTTGAGAGATGCATTAACTGCCCCAGTTCTGCTATGGTTCCTGAGCCTTAGGTATAGGATACATTGTAGATATGTTGCTTAGGGCTGGGCATCTCACAGGCACTTACCCTCTGCTTTGACCAGTTGTGGAACACCAATGGTTTCCATCTGTTGCAAAAAGAAGTTTCTTTGATGAGTGATGAGAAGTACATTGTCTGTAAAACATAAGGATACATATTTAGTATAAGGTAAGAAATTATGTTTGTCTACATATGTAACAGATGTAAGTTTTTCTCTAGGATCTATATGACCTCTCTAACCATGTGAATTTGGTTATATCTGCAGCACTACACATGAGAGTGCCCTCCCATTGAGTGGGTTTTAAATCCAATTAGATGGCTGTTGATTTCCCCAGAAATAAAAGCACCACTACCACACAGAGAGCATGCTGTGCTGGTTGTGGTTATTAGCTCTTTACAGCTGGGTTGGACCATTGATTGACTTTATACCTTAGCAGCTTGCATAGTATCCTCTGGTACTATGAGAGCTAGTCTTCAGGGAGGAGGCTTCCAGATCAGTTAGAGCTCCATTGCTCTCAGTCCTGGGTCCAAAGTACATCCTGTATTCAGCGATAGGGTGTTACCTTCAAGTTCTAGAAGGCAACCAGAAGGAAATGTAGTAGTTCAAAAGTCTACTGAAAAATGCACTGAAAAATTCAGTGTATAGTTGAAGGCTATATAACAAGAAACACAGTGCCAGACAAGAGAAACTTCAATTTGTTGGTCAGGGTAGAGACTCCCAAAATAACAGAGGCTATTGCCACAGTCCTTGATTGCCTCAGAACTTGAAGCTAAAAATTTTATTAAATTTTTGTATATTAATTTTTATTTTATTTTTGTTGAATGTGATTTTCATACAATATAGTTTGGTAGTGCTTAGATCCCCTCTACTCTCTGCACCACCTCATTGCCCCTGCCTAATTCAATATACTCTCATATATCTATATCCTATAGAATCTGATTTATATCCCCAAATGTCCTTCAGTATAGGTTCATCCATTGGGCCCA